GTCATTACTCCAATAAAGGATCATTGCGCTTCAGTAATGCTTTAGGTGTTTTTCTGTGTCTTCTTCCCCTTTAAAGGATGTGAAATGTGGCATGCTAAACTTGTATGGAGGCTCTGCCTGCTCGATCTTATCCGTGAATGGTGACCTGTTTATGTTGGTTATGTTTCGTCGTAGTGCCTCGTCAGTGACCTCGTTGCATTGGAAATCGTGCAATCGCTCAGTCATAAGCCTCTCTATTTCTTCTTGAATTTGCCTTTGTTAGGGGGTAGCGGAGCTCTCGACTATCCTCAGTCATGACTTGCTGGTCTAGGCTGTTTTTCCATGTGTTTGGCTTGTTTATGCTGCAGCTGGGGTGCATGTGGTGCGTTCTTAGCATGTGAACGAATTTCTCGCAAGCTACCAGTTGAACTTGAGCTGAATTGAGTGATTGTTTCTCTCTGTTCGTCATGCTGCTTACTCCAATGTGAGGTGAAAGATGCTCATTGCGGGTTTAGCCATGAATAAACATTTCGACTGAAAGGTTGCTCATGTTGATTATCAGAGCATAACCCCAACTGTGAGTGTATGCTCGTCCCTAGGCCTAGCCAAAAGTGCACACTCATCTGCGCTAAGACAAGTGTATACGTTATCTCGGGGGCCCAGTCAGGAGTGTACACTGCCCGACCACTCGGTTTGTGGCTGGTCAATGAGCTGCTTTCCAAGACGCTGCTAGAAAGGTTTGTCATTTGCCCTTGTCTTACTTCAGGACACCTGGTCTAGGGTGCGCTGCATCTCGGTACGCTGCAAGAGTTGATTCACCAAGGTCGTTTGCTATGCGAAGGCACTTGTCAACTCTATGACTTATCAAGACAAGTGTTGTTCGACATTTGGGTTGAAAAAGCTTGGACGGTATGCATCTCCTTGAGTAGTGGAAGTGTAATGGACTTTGGGCCTGAGATTTGAGTTGGGATATGTCAAATTTGCAGAAAAATATGGTGAAAAAACTTTTGGTTCAATCGTCGATCCAGAAATCTAACAATTTGGGATGCTAGATGGGCTACGAGATAGACTGCGGGAACAAGTTGTATCACTGGCACAAGTCGGACCGTGGGTGTGGGCTGGGCACTGGAGCACATGGGTGTTGGGCTTCTCCTAGCACGATTTGGGCCTGCGGGTCTTGGGCTGCTGCGGCTGTAATTTGGGCCTGCTGTGATGCTTTCACAATGGGCTTGGGTCTCGCCGTGAGCTACCACGGTGGCTGCTGCCGTGGTGGCTACCGTCGGCATAGCCACGATGGTGCCCCGTGGAGGTGGTGCCGCTCCACTCGTTGTCGTGTTGAGCCTCGTGGATCGTCGTGGTGAGGTTATGCCTTGATCTCTATTACTTGGTCCAAATCCTTGAACGTAGGATGTTTCGTTCGTTGTGATTTCTGAATTTCTACTAGTCATTATACTTTTCTTTTACGTTTATTCAAAGAACTTTATAAGAAATTCTAAGAATAAGAACGTACGAAAAATCTATGAATGAACAAGAAATGAGAAACTTTGAATGCAAGAGTCTTCTTTGAGCATGTAAATTAAGACTCTCAATGAAAGCACCAATTTGTGGATGCAAATTTCCGCCATCTTCTCATTTGACAAAAATGCACCTGCAAAATAATAACACCAAAGAATCTCTGATGCCAAAGTTAGAGTTTTGAAAAGAATGTATTTAGGAGTTTGTGAGTAACTAATGCCGATCGACGGCTAATTATTAAAAATCACATTTTAATAGAAATCACATTTATAAAACCAAGTCATATCCATAAAGGATACTAAATACAAAATTAGGGTAATAACCATATCACATATATTAAAGTCACTTATTAACCAATGTAGGCCCACTGGACTTCACTTAGTCTCTAGTAGTACTAATTTTAGTATTTAAGAATGATTCAAGACATGTGTCGAAAGTCAACTCTCTGTCAACGATGGGGTCTACAACCCTGCGTAATTCGATCTGGAACATCCGCCCATGGATTTCCGATCTGTAATTTTTGAAAAGTCTCATTAATCTTCTAGAACAATATCCTAAAATTTTGAAATGATCCAATGATCGAATCTCTGCTAATCGCTAATATTAAGAAGCGGTCAACGTTTGGTTTTTCAAACTTAGAAGTTCAATTTAGGAAGATCCGTACATCGGATTCCCGATCCGTAAGTTCTTAAGGTCCTCAAATATTGTGTACTATAACGCGTTAAAGTTTGGTGATGATCCAACGGTCGGATTATCAATGGTTATAATGATCAAGTAGCTTCCGGTTTGGTAAATCGCCACCAAGAACCCATCATATCCACCGTGTTGTTTTTTGCAAAATCAAGGCCAAATTCCGTTGGTTTTTGAGTGGAAATGGAAGAGGGAAAGATGCTAGGTTGATTACAAGGGGTGAGTAGCTTCAATTCACTAGAAAATCGTTGTGAAAGGCATCAGGAGTCATGGATTCCATCAGGTCGGGTCACGGGTTTAAGGGAAGAAATTGGGTGGACCGATTCCTTTCTTTCTCATTCCTTCATTTCCTTCCCTCCTGATTCGCCTGTCTCTCCCTCATTTCCCTCATTTCTCTCCTCATCTCTCTATCTTAGCCATACACGTGGCACCAAATCAGTGCTCCAGCAAATCTAGAGCCTTCCAGATAATGGTCAAATAACCATTTCGCCCTTGTCTTTGCTCGTTTATATCTCATTCGTTATAGATTCCTTTGGCGAACAGTTTTTGCCTACGCACTCGGGAGATCGAGCTCTATCCAAATATGTAAATAAAAGTGACAAAACATCTATGAATAAAAAATGTCATCGAAAAGTCCGTTTAGTTCATTAATGGTGTTTTCGTTCTTTTACTTATCGAAAAAAAAACTATACGCCATAATTATAAATGCGTCGAAACTAAGAATACGAAATACGTAATTTTAAATAGTGAAATTCGGGGATGAGATTTCATAGACGTGGTGCAGCAAAAGGGGTTTGTCATGCATCTTGAGTTTGAAACTCTCACTCCCTTAAATTATTGTAATAATATAAACATGTGTGCCAATACCAATTGAATCTTCAATTTTTAATTTTTATCACCTGAACTCTCTTAACTGTTGGAATCTACCATTTACGTTACTTTCCATCTATTTTACCAATAAAACATGTCATGCCTCACGTGAAGGGATATTTTTGTCAATCCACTTCCTAAGGCTTGTTGGAATCAATTTGAACAAAAAAAAAAAAGACATTTTGTTTGTAGTGTGGAGTCAAGTCATGAAGAGAAAGTGAGAAGTTGATTTTGGCAAGGGTTGTTAAAGATCGAAGTGCAACATATGCAAAAATCTAGTCTTTCGTTTACAATGAATTTTCATAATTTTTTTTTTTTTGTAGGTCAGCAAGTAGTGTGGTTCACCATAATTTCTTCAAATATTAATTTCTCAAATTCTTATGGAGGGATTGCCAAACTGGTGCTGTACAAATTCCCAATTTTGACACCATATTTTAGAGCCAATTTGATTCTAGCCAGCCTTGATGTCAATAGACGAAAATATCTCTACAAGTAACATGTTTTAAGGGCAAAATAGATGGAAAGTAACAAAAGTAACACAAGTGGTAGATTTGAACAGTTAAGAGAGTTCAAGTGGTAAAACATAAGAATAAAAAATTTAAGTGGTATTATCGCATATTCATACAAGTTCAGAATGTACTTCATCCAAAAGACTTCAATATAATTTATGCAATTTTTCTACAAAAACAAAAGTGAGAGTATAGGAGTTTTAAAGTCAGAGCAAAATAACTCGGTTGAGTGAGCTGGATTCCTTCCTCTAAGGCCATCTCCAATGGATCAGACCATAGGGGCATAGGCCATGTTTTAGCCCGAATTGAGACAAAATCTAACTCCAATGGAGGTTTGGAAAAAAAAAAAAAAAAAAGGGACCCACCACGCCAAGTTTTAGCCATTTGGCCATCGGGCAGAGCATTGTTAGCTAGCTAGCCAGCTCGTTTGTTGGGCCCAGTTTGTTGGAAATATTTTATTTTATTTTTAATTTTTAGGACGAAATTAGAAAAAAAATTAAAAAATTCTTTTTTTTTTCCTATAAATACCTAAGCCATTTATACAATATTCTCACATCATTTTCACCATTCCATACTATCTTACCTCATGTTATTTCAATTATTCACATTTTTTTTACCTAAGCCATTTTAAAAACAAACTTAATACAATTGTTGAATTCATGTCTAAGCTGTTGTAGTTTTAATATGGTAATTTAGTTCAATTAACCAATAAGTTAAAGAACAAACTTAAAAATAATAAATTATTGAGGGGCAAAAAAAAAAAAATATCCCATTTCGGTTGGAGATAGTATGTAAATATAACCTGTCATTGTTTATTTAAAAATAATTTTTTGAAGGGCTATAATTTTGAACGGGGCTATGTTTAGCCTTTTTGGTTTAAGACATTTCCAATTAAGGGGGCTAAAGGTTTAAAAACCAACAAATAGCCCAAAAACTCATTTCGAACAGCTGAGCTATAATTCTATAAAGCACCAAGCCATTATTAGGGCATCATGTTGGCCTAATGTAACTCCATCTTAGCCATTTTTTTGAGACCTAGCTCCTCACAATAATTGAACTAATAAATTAGAGGGGCTACATTTAGCCTCTTCAATTGAAGAAGTTATATAAATATATTTTGATACTGTTTATTTAATAATAGGGTTAATCTCAGTTTATTACGTTAAAATTTTTTGATTTTCAACATTTGGTATATGAAGTTTTTTTCATCTCAAAATAGTACATAAAGTTATAATTTTGGGATATTTTCATACATTTGTTAAGATTGCTATTAAATGTATCCCATTCCCATACATCTGTTAATATTGTTATTAAATTTGTTGTTAACTGATGACGTGACATCTATATAGATAATGACTAGGCGCCACATGGATATTAAAAAAATAAAATAATTAATTAAAAAAAAACTAAAATTTTTTAAAAAAGTACAGAAAAAAAAAATATTCAACACTTCAAGCTCTCCCTCGACAACGCCGACGCCACCCCCTACAATTGGCTTGGGGTCACCGCCATCAGTGTTAAGGTCATTGAAGGGCTTCCTCGCTCGGTGGAACTCAATACGCCTCTGAAGTGGATTCGACGCGGTTTCCGATTCGGGCATTAAATCCGCAAAGCCCTCCGATTGGATTTGGAGCTCAGCCGTTTGCACCAAAGCGTCGGCCATTTCCGGAGCCCAAAAAGTTGCGATTTTGCAGAGAAAGTTTCTATTTTTGTTCTATGCGTATTGAATTTCTCTCTCTGGAATTAGAAATTAGGGTTCTAATGGCAGAAATGTTTGTGGGGATTTGGGAGAAGTAGAGAGCTTTTTGAAGGCTTCTGCGAAAGAGAAGAGGCCATGGAGGCGATAGAGGCAATGGATGAGTCGGAATTGGGTGGGCGCAGAAGAAATAATGGAGGGAGGGTCGGGTGGGAGCGGCATGTGAAGTGAGGTAGAAGACGATGCCCTGATTTTTTTATTTTATTTTTTTAAATTTTATTAATTTATCAAATTTTTAATATTTAGATGGCCCATATTGACTTGGCGTTCAGTTATTGTTCACTTAGTTGGTATGTTATCAATTAATGGTTGATTTAACAGTAATCTGAAAATATCCCAAAATTACAATTTTAGGTACCACTTCAAAATGAAATAAACTTTATATATTGAAAATCAAAAAATTTCGTGGTAGTACTGAGATCAACCCTTGATAATAATATAATTCTGGATCGGGCTAGTTAGATCGGTTGGAGATAGGCCCAATAACTATAAACGAAAACCTCCAGAGGGCACAAGGGGTGCATTTGCTTAACAGGTCGTTAATACCTTTCTCAGTATAGGGCAGGCACCGGCAATCCATCGGTCATCTCCCGTAAATTCGAAATAATTCGAGAACCATGGTTTGGGGTTTCTTCCCTACCGACCCTCACTCAGGTAACATCTCTCTCTATTTTAGTTTTTTTTTTGCCCCGCTTATCCAGGAAATTTGAATTTGCATTTTCGATTAGAACAAATTTGTTCAAAATACTTATCAGAAATCATATGGTTCAATTTCGTAATTGTGAATGCAGGTGATTTTTTTTTATTCTTATAAAACTTTGAAAACATATTGGGTATTGAACTTGTAGAAACTGTTTTTGTTGAGTAACAACTTTCTTTTATTGGAGAGCCCTTTGAGTTTTGAAAACTTATCGAAAACAAGATGTTTTTGAGTCACTTTTAAGATTTTTGTTTCTAGAAAACTGGTCTTACCAATCAACAATTTTTCTTAATCTTTTGACTAAGAGTGAAGAGAAATCTGAGAGATTGGAGAGAAGAATTGGAAAAAAAAGATATTATTGTCTACTGATATGTGTTGAAACTTGAAAGAATACACAGAGAAGAGGTTCTGATATTTATACCAGAATCATAATAATGATTAGATAACTAATCACCTCATTATAATATACTAATTATAGACTAATAAGAGACTAATCATAACTAATCTGGACCCTGTTACAACAGTGATTAGCTGGCAAATACGGTTATTAATTTTCAGTTTTTCACAGTGTGAGCACATGTGTCTGTATCTCTTGTAGCTTCTATAGTTGTGAATGTGGATTGTGGAGTAGAAGTCATCACTGAAAAATGTGTATTTAGATATCTGTAACCTTTCCCTCCTCAATGCTTTAGGTTCTTGTAAATCTCTATCTTTTGAATATCTTGATAAGGATTCAGTTCACATCAATATCTAACTGGCGTAATCTGGCAGGTGAAGATAAATACTATATCTTTGCAAGGGGAACGTACAAAGTGGGTCGGAAAGGTATGCCAGAATTAGCTGAAATTTTTTGTGCACCAGTTCCGTGAAATTCTTTTTGTTGGATAAACTAGTTTCTCACCCTCCTCTAATTTCCTCTATGACATGCCCACTTTTCCAGTTCTAATAATGATTATAGTACTAAATTGTTTATATTTTCGTTATGTCCCCAGGTATTAAATCATCTAACTTTATGTAACATTGTAGGTTGTGATGTAAATATCACTAAAGATAAAGGAGTTTCTCGGGTTCATGCAGAAATAGTTGTTGATGCAATGATTGCCCCTCTTCCCCTGCAAACAAAATCTTCTATATTATCTTCCAAAGTTCGAATTAGAGATTGCTCAAAATATGGAACATATATTAACAAGAACCTTACATCAATGGAAAAGATTCATGAGTTACCCAATAGAGAAACATCGTTAAGGCAAGGAGACTTGGTTTCATTTGGAACTGGCAATGCAATCTACAGGTAATTTAACTGTTTATTTTTAGTTTACTTTCTGCATGTGTCACATTAATGAATAAAGCTGTTTCAGATTTTATATTATAATATGATAGTATCTTTCACAACTCACTTGGTTATATTTTTTAAATCAAATTCTAACTGCTGAAGGACGATACCTGATACAGCTATGTCTGTTGATAATGAACGCTATTAAATAAGGATTACACTGCACCGGTTATATATATGTGTATATATATATATATATATATTTTTTTTTTTTTTTTAGCATTGATATGCTTATATCTCGTAATTACATATCTAGCAGATTTTCCTTTGTTCCACTCATTTTCTTTGCGTGCTGCTCGGAACCAACCCAAGTGAATCACCCCCTTGAAGATAAACTTTCATCAATTGGTTAGTGATTCATGAGATACTTACTATTTACGTGAAATTTCCAGGCCCATATGCTGTTATGTTTCCTTGTCATTTTTCATCTGCAAATGTCTCTAGGTTGTTTCACGTGTGCTTTCTGACAACAACAGTTAAATGTTAATGTAGAAAGTATATGTTAACATAGAAAATAGGGGTCGGGCTCTTATAATTCATTGTATTCGGATGCTTGTGCTTTTAATAATTAAGCCCGATTCTTATAGACATTGGTTTACTTTTATTACTGTTTTTGAAAAATTAATCAGATAGAATATCAGCCTCGCCCTATTATTGTGGAGGATAGGAAATTGTGATTATTATATAAAATAAATAGTGGTAAGACAGAAAGTGATCCAGCAGTGCACTAAAATAAAAGCACTCATAAAAATAGACTCCAGTAACCTGAAAACAAACGTCAAAGGAACAAAATTGCCAAAATAATGAAGGAAGAAACAACAGCTTAGAAATTAGAAGAAACTGAGGCAACAATTTGGTTTTATCCCTTAAGTAATATGCTGCACTAAATTAAAAAAGTTAAGTCGCTCCTGTCTGACCAATCCATCCAAGAATATCAGTCACATTTTATCTAATACAAGACCGTTGTCTTCTTACCGGTTACCTATCTGAAAAAGTTTATTCTGCAGTCTCAAAGAAACAGAAAACTAATAACTAAGTGATTGGCTCTTCTGTGAAGGGCCTCACAAGTATTCATTCTTTCAGAAACTACCATTCGAGCTAGAAATTGTTGTTTATCCCTTCCATATCACTAACAATGGCTTGAAAGACAATATAATCATCAATTAATATGCAGAAAGAGACTTACCAGACTTAAAAATTCACTAGACCTTCTGTCTAATATCAAGAAAGTAAGGGATGTACTTTCAATAAAAGAGAGGAGAGAAGACAGCTCCTCAATCTCAACACCACTCAAATTTTCTCTGAAAAGATTCAACCCCGATGATGAAAAGTAAGTTAGACATTAGATATGTTGTTTATGGAAGTCCTATAAAGAAACATTGAAGAAGTAATCCCCTCCCTTCCCCTGTCCACATATTTGTTCCTAAAACTGATCCTCTTTGCATTTCCCAAAATGATACAAGGTTGGAAGAGAACATAACAAGATCCTGAGAAGTGTCTCCTTGGACATTTGTCCGAACCAACCACTGCTTTGGTTCCTGCTAAGATTTCGAGGACTACTATACATTACAGTATTTTGATGATTGGTTAGGAGGAGGAGAAAATGGGAAGGGGGGGGGGTTATGTTCTCCGCAAAAACTTCTTGTGTGCTTAGTGGTGGGTGTGCTTTTTGGGGTTGGAGTGGTGATTTGTTGAAACTTGAAAGTCTAATGAAACACATTTAAAGGTCTATTCCATGATGCATTTTGGTGTTATGTTGGAGTGGAATAGGAGAGCTTCCAATATCTTTACACGTATTTCTTCCTTTATTTGCTTTCCTCATGGTTTTTTGGTTAGCAGCATTTGAATCTAACTGAGTGATGTGTGTTTTTTCTAATTACTAGAGTGATGTTGTGATGGTTGCTAACTATTGTGCTTTCATTAGGTGCTCATGTCACTTATCATCTAAATCAGGAGTGCACACATGTCCTTGTTGACCAACTCATGCCAGTGAAAGAAGATATAGTGGATGCTATTGTGGCAAAGAAACCTATTGTTCTTGGTAGTTGGGTTGAGGTGGGTCAATGTTCAGATCATTCATTGCTATTCTTGAGTGAATTGTGCTTCAAATTATTGAGTATATATATTTTTTAAAGGAGAAATTAGGTTCTCATCCTTCCTTTTGCTACTCCATTGATTAAAACTTTGTTCCTTTTCAATTTTTGATCAAGGTCCTTGGTGTTAATAACATCATTAATTATTTCAATAATAAAATATTTTTTATTTCTAAATATATTCATTTAATGTTAAAATTGTTACAATTAGTATATTTATATTTATGGCTAAATTTTTTATCATATATTTTTATTTTTAGTTTGTACCCATTTTTAATTTGCAACCCTTTTTTAATTTGTACCAATTTTCTTTTTAGTTTTAATTTGTATCCATATTCTTTTTAGTTTTACTTTTTGTGCCCATATTTTATAAAGTTTTATTTGTATTTGTACCCATATTTTTTTTTATTTATATGTACCCATTTTTAATTTTGCTAAATGTACCCATGCTAATTATATGTACCATTCATGTAATTTTTTTAAAAATTTTTAATCTTAAAATGTACTCATTCTTAAATATACCAATTTGTTATATGTAAAATGTACCCTTTTTTTTTTTATATAAAATTTATTCAATTTTTTTCCTAATCCATTTTTAAACTTATACGGGTACATTCTTTTTTCTTTGATTTGAGAATGTATCCATTTTAAGTTTAATCGAAGAACTTTACTAATTTTATTAAGCCTAATATCTTTTTTTATTTTTTTATTTTTTTTATTTTGAAGAATGTACCCATGTTTTGATACAATAATTTTTTGGTTAATTTTGATTAATGTACCCATGTTTATATATATACACACACGCAATAGTATATTTATATTTTTAATCCCACAAATTATGGTTTTTTATTTAAAATCTCATTAATATAAACAACTATAAATTTCAATTTTTAATTTAAAAAATATAGTAACGTACATAGAAATAAATTATCACATTAATTTCAGGGACTTGGATCAAAAATTGAAAACCAACAAGGTTTCAGTCAAAGAATATTCATAGCTAGGGACCGCATCCGAAGTCTCCCTTTTTAAAATCTTTGACTGGTTTCTTGTGATAAATGTGTATTATAATGGCTTCGTAGCACTTGCTTTGACTTCTGTGTTTCATCTATTATCATATTTGTGGTGCTTACAAAAGTTTAAATGAGAAAAGCGGAATGAAGACAATATAATGGGGGTCTGTGCCTCACTTACTCAATTACGTAATCTTATTCAATGAGATATCCCTGTTGCATAACATAATAATCAAAGCTTCTATTAACAAAGGGGACCTTGTAACTGTCGCCTTGCTTAAGATATGCTTTTAAGAAATAAGACTCATTTTAGTCTTAATTACTGTGATCTAGAAAATTGTGATACAAAATGTTGGGGCCTCTTTATGCTTTGAGGATGAATCAAATATAATAGATCTTAAGGGTGATGAGACTAGTCACTTTCCTATTGTATAACTGATGGATTAAGACAGTGAAGGGGATTGTATTTGGCACAAATTATTCCCGACTAACTCTCAGTGTTGTGAAAGGAAATGGAAGTATGATCGTACGTGGATGCATATGCTTTTGCGAACTTCTTGTCAGCTCTTGTATTTTTATTGTTTGTTTTGCAATATAAATTTGTTTCTTCTTAAAAAAATTGAAAATTTGATTACACATTGACTTCATTGAACTTCAACTTCGTTGCAGTTTGTGTTTGATTTCCTTACCATTACTTCTTGTTTATACGTTGCTTGATGCGAATTTGACTCAAAGATCTTTCTTTAAATAGCCTGCATGTTTCCATCTGTTGTGTTTGTAGAGTTCTTCCTGTACTTTTTTTTCTTTCTTTTATGTTTTGAATATATTATCCCACATTGTTGGCATTTTCGAAATGAGCACTGGTATCAGAACATCATCAAAAAGTACTAATTTTCTTAAGTGGAAGTTCACACATATAATATAATAGTATAATACATTTTTTTTTTTTGTTACCTAAACCTAGAACTATTTAGAACTAAGTTGATGGGAAATTCTTCATAGCATAGTTTATTCCTGTTTTCTATTATTGCTGATTGCTGCTGTTTTTTTAGTTTCTTGCAGAAAAAAACATTCGCAATGAGCTTCCTGGGTGTGAATCGTGAGTGTTAATTATGATCTAGTTTTGGATTTAACTTCATTGAGTTCCTTGTAGATTAGCAATGGTTGTTCTGATAAAAGTATGCTTTCATCTATCCCGTAATCAGCTTTGCTCCAACACTAACAGTGGAAGGAGTATCAGTCAAACTTACAGATCCAAAAACTCGTGAAAACTGTTTAGAAGGATACACGTTTTTGTTGGACTCCAAACCTGTGGTAAAAGTTTTGACTCCCATAATTTTTTTAGAATATTCAATTTTATTTTACTTTTGCTGAAATCTAACAAGTTTAACTTTTATTAGTGGTTCGAAATGCATGAAGTTTCATCACTTTATTGGAGAATTTTTTTAAATGTTCATAACTGTGCATTCAGCTGTTGACAAACTGATAACCAAACACAGATTATCATGCAGACTCCACACTGAAAGTTTTATTGCTACAGTATGATTTATAGAAGTTGTAAATTGTTTCATGCAGATTTAATGAATTTTTTGTTGCTCTCTCCAATCCATATATTCATTTTGGGTGAAGTCCAACGACATCCCCTAAGATTGACTTATTTCGCTCAGACCCCTAAAGTTTCATTAATTCCGTTAATACCCTATATTGTTCACACCTCTTAATTCTTACTAACAGTCAAAGGGCACGAGAGTCATTATAGTTAAAAAAATTAAATAAGAAACCCATGTTCTCTAAACCTAAACCTGAATTCAGTAGTCGATAAATAAAATTGAATGATTGAAGGCAGTAGGCACCTGCAATGGAGGTGTTGAAATGACAAATAAATGCATCCCTGGACACCGAAAAGCAAGAAAGGAAGAGGAGGTACATGGTCTTTTACTTGAAACGGCTGTGATCTATTGCGTTATGTCAGTGGCGGACACTGGAGACTGACAAAGGACGGTTGAACAGAATAACATGCACTGGGTGAGGTGATGAGGACAGAGAGCCTGAGCAGTGTCCAACTCAGGACTTTTGAGTTAAATTTACGTTTTTGCATTTTTTCTTACGGAGTTGATTTAGTATTTTCAGATTTCATCCAGAGTTCATTTTTTTGTTTTAAGGAAATGATTTTTGTTAGAAACAGAAAAATTCTTGCTTAATTATGTTCTGGTGGGGTTAAATTGTTCCTTTTGTCTTTCAAATTTAGTTAAAAAGCATATTCTGTTAATAATCATCATCAGCAGAGGTTGTCATGTCATCAGTAATTGTGTCATCAGCATTACTGAAACCTGAGGGGTGTGAGTAGAATAAATGAAAACCTGTGCGGGGGTCTACATGAACTTCACCCATTTATGTCTTACAGTACTTTTGTGCTTTTACAAAATAAATCCATATTTGAAATCTCAATTCTTGTGTGTAGAGTAAATTGAAATGATTGCACAATATGCTAATCTATATATTTTGTGCTTTTACAGTATAAATTCATGGATCGCTTGCGGTCCTTACTGGAAGTGAGTGGTGCAAAGATACTTTCCATTGATGGGTTTAATTTGAAGAGCCAAGTATGATTCTCTGTTTTACAATATCGCTACATTTTTGCACGAACATTTTTTTAAGTTCCCTTTGCAAAATATGATGTCTGCTTTAGTGATATATTTTTTTTACTTTGTCTGTATTTAAAGTTCTTATATAAGAAAAATTCTCTCTATATAGTAACATTACCATTTTTTTTTCCATGTTTTTATTATCATTTGTGTGTTATTAGCTGGTTGACTCTTGATTTACTTTGATGTGTGGAAAATGTGATATTTGGACTCCTCAGTTTAAATTTTTTTGCACAAAACGAGATTTTTTAGTTTTTATTTTGTTTAAATAAAATTGACAAGAGAATTCTACACTTGAAAGATTATGGATATGTATGTGGTGTTTCCCGATTTTTATCAGCTAAAATACACTGCCCTTTTTTGTTGTTGGGATATTTGCTGTTTTGGTGAGAGAGGAACGCCAAAATAATGAAATATTCAAGAAAAGGCTAGGGTCACATCTTTATGTGAAAGAGTGAGGTGTTGGCTTCTTTATAGGCTTCTGTATCTGTTCTTTTTACAGATGTTCGTTTACTTTCTTAATTTGGATAGGGGGCAGCTGTAAGTTGTTCCTATGATCCTTTCTAGTTAGAGAGATGACTGCCATTTGTTTTCCTGGATGTAATAGGTTTAGCTTTTTAGAGTGATGTAGTACAAGATATGGGTCAATTCTAACGAAGAAGTATAAAGAAAATAAAATGTTTCAAATTCTAAATAACAAGAATTAGAGTTGAGAAATATTGGATTCAATCGATATGGAAACATAATAGGCATCGAGAAATATTGGATTCAATCGATATGGTATACCATGAGCTCGTCATGTTCTAAGGCCATCTGAAGTCATTTAGGCTTCCAAAACACAGTTTAAAGGTTTGTAATAAAAATCGGATCTTTACATCTGATTAATGTTTAATTAAGGTTGTTTTAATTCCTAGAGTCCTTTAAGTTGTTCCAAGCGGTTGCAATCTTTTATTTAAGTCGTTGGATGTAACAATTGTATTCATTCAATCATTAATCAATGGTTAACCTTTGGGGTTTCTCTCAATTTTCGGGTGGACTCCAGACTTTGTTCTACTAGGGATTATGTTGGTAACCCTTTGATTGCTTCATGCTGCGTCATAGAGCTTGGGCCAGATTGTGGAGCTCTTGTGGTTAAGGGTTTAGGGTTCGTAACAGTTGATATTCAATTGCAATTGGATAACACTACACACTATCCAATATGTAGAAAAACACAAATATTAATGTTATTAGTTCACCACAGGACCTTGATATATAAGTTTTATGCTATGAACCACTTTACCATATGGACTTAGGAATCTGTATATATTCAAAAGCAATTTGTGGTGGGTTGTCGGAGGAGTTGGCTTTGACAAATATCTGATAAATAGAAAGGGATTTGTGGTGGTAGTATGGATTAATAAGTTAATTTATTAGGAAAAGTTGAGGGAGACAAGAGGAGAGAACAAAAAAATATCACAGAGCTTTTGTAGTTACATACATTTAGAAGTGTGTGTGTGAAAATCCAACAAATTGTATTATTACACTTGTTTACCGAACCGTGTTCCCGTCACACTAAACAACGGTTTTTACTTGAAAAAGAAAAAGATCTCAACATTACCATTGTGATTAACCGAGCACTACACCTAACCTCACCAGCATATTTCCCAACCTTATCAAAAAATATCACAAAGCTTGACAAATATTTGGCTTGACAAATATAAAAAACATCAGTACATCTAGAAGTGAACCATGAAATTGAAAGAATTGTTTCATAGAGAGATAACGGAAGATTTTCAGTGTAGTTTTAGTTTTAGGCTTGAAGAAACAAGAGGACACATTGGCACGAGTCCGGCAAGTACTAGCCAAGGCCCAATGGATTAATAAGTTGATTTATTAGGACAAGTTGAGGGAGACAAGAGGAGAGAACAAAAAAAATATCACAAACTGATTAATCCATTGGGCCACAGGACACGTACTAATCACTTGTATTATGACACTTGGTGTACTACTGAAACAGTGTTCAAATCCAGACAGTGAGTGTCATCTTCTCTGGATAAAATTCATGTAGCTGTATGGTGAGTTTGGTTGCTTACAGTTCTTTCAACATTGACTGCCATATAACAGTTCATATTCAATTTTCAAATTTTGAGTGACTCATCTGCTTTGGTCTGTATGAAAAATATTAACCAGTTTTCAGTGTTTATCTGTTGCTTTCTGTATTCATGTCATTTTGGCCAAGGTAATAAAGCTCATGCTTCCTATGTACTTAGGCTTATAATTTATGGCATCATTTTATTGGCGTTTAAAATCTTGAAGATTAACTCTTCATCCTTCTTTACAAATAATGCCTTAAACCCAATTTTGTCATATGGAGCATGGCTTGTGTGATATTACATTTTGGCTTTTTTTTTTCTGAATCTTTTTAATGTGTATTTTCTTTCAGAGCTCAGTTTGTGGAGAAAATGATCGTGTTGTATGTGTTATCCCAGAACGATTATCAGATGCTGGGTTCAATAAGCTTGGTTCACTTTTAAGAGTGAATGAGATTGGGTTAATATGTGCCATTTTAAATGGACGGTTGGATACATCCATGTTAAAGTCACCTTGCGGTAAGTATTCTTTTTATCTGTTTGATAAATGTGCCCAACTGATTGACTCAAATAGTACTATGCATTGTGTTATTGGTACTTATGAAAGATTTACTTACATCGTCGTAGTGGATTGGTTGCTCTGCCTAACTGTGACAAGGACAAAAGATATTGGGAGATTATGAATCTGTAATTGTTTAGATAATGCACTGTCTTGTTATTTATATTAACAAATAAACATATAGATCCTCTATCTTTAATAGATAGCAATCTTGCTTGACGAAAATGAGTGTTTACTTCCATTCAATTTCTATTGAAGTGATAAGAGAAATAGGAGTTTCAATTGGGGATGCACTCTGGCTCATAAGGCCACTAGTCTTTCCCCTTGAGATTGTACTCTCTTTCAACATAAATCTGAAATAACACTTCTGAAATCAAAACTCCAGTTCAAGGGGTACAGATATGCACAGCTAATAGTAATACACCTAGTTGTGTTATTTTCAGACTTAATTCACTAGCCTTGCCCCATGTGACCAAATTCTCTTTTGACATAGTGAAATAATATAGTGACTAAAGATGATCAGATTGGTTTAAGAACAGAGATTACATTCCCTCCACAAGTAATGTCTACTGTCACAAAAGATGATTCGACAATACAATGATACCCTTTAACAATATAAGAAGTTTTTTTTTTTTTGAAGAATAACAAAGCGGACTATAGTTCTGACAGTTTGGACTGAGTAGCTAGACATTTATGAAGCTTGGCCTTCTGGAAGAAATATTTTGCACGGAAGTTTCAAAGTCATATATCTTAATTAAGCCTTTTTCTTTTGAGTTCTAAGTACGTTTTTGAAGCGATTTTGGTGTAGAAAAGTTTATAGTCCTTCCGAAATAGCTGTGCCCATTATGCCGTCGATCATATTGATCAAGAGACATGCAGTTTCCTTAACTACAAAGGTTTAATGGGTATTTATATATGTGGCTTGTGCTGTTTCTAGAAACCAGTGAAACCTTTATCTGTTCCAAGAGAATGCCACTAAAACTTTGAGTGTCAATAATATTTTAGGGTCTAATATCTTTCATTTTAACTTGAAATCCTTCTAGATTACCTAGCTCTCACCTTATATGAAGCAGATAATGTCACTAAAATAAAATTACTTGGCCACTTTTCTCTTTCCTGTGAGTACTCTTTGTATGACCTCTACACTATTTCTATTTTCATTGAAGTGCGAGAATATTATCTATTAGTGAGATGCAAGTACGTGGGTGTGTGTGTGTGTGTGTGTGTGTTCTGCAAGGCAGTGTACCTGAATCTTTGTTGTTTTGCAGTAGTTGTATCATCTTCATGCTCCACAGATGAAACTGTGGTAGCTGATTCTGATGCAGAAGAAATGGCCACTTCTGTTCTGGCAACTTCATCTGTTGGGACCAAAGGAGTTGTTGAAACTTTACCCCATGAAATCTGCATGAGTTATGCGGCTATCAAATCTGAGGATAACTATGTCATGAGCTCTAGACGAAGTAGTGACATGAGGGGCAAGCTTGACGAGTCTGAAAGTGGAATTGCAGATATTATTTATAGCCAAGATTTGATTGTGCGAAATACAAGCCTACCTTGTGCCATTATTACTACTGCAAACAACAGAGTTGTAAATTTCAAACGCTTCAGAAAGGTAATGCTCTAATCTTTCTCAGTTCCATATGGTTATTGGGTAATGGGTAGTGATATGAGCCAAACCCTTTAGTTCATACATTGGCATGTCAAGAGATGGTGCATTATCAACTTCTGAATAAACCTGGTGTATGTTGAGGTTTCAATATGTGCTAGTCTTTTAATTTTATATTTTGGCTTGTCGAGACAAAATACATCTTTAGATCCTGTCCAGTTTGGGATTTTACTGATTTATGCAGCAGTTAAATCAATCCCATATATTAGATAAGCCTATTAGTGTTTGGCTTATATATGAAAAAGGCTGTCCAAGGTTCTTTTTGCATGTTATGGGAAAAAGGATTATGCACTTTATGTTTACTGTGTGTTTTTTAAGTACACCGATTTATAACAGAAATGAATACAATTGTCTTGATATTTTGGATTTTGAAAGACCCTATGTTCTATCTCCACTCCAAATTGGAATTACAGACAAATACTCGATCCGGGAATAGCTTCAGCAGACTTATTCCATTCTTGAAGTCCCCATATAAGTAAGATCCATTTTATCAAGCCTGTCCAACTTGTTTATGATGTTTAGAGTATCATCAGGTTACCCTTATCTTTTCTTTGTTTCTTGATGATAGAGATTCTGACTATGGGAGTGAGGAAATGGTAGAGTCTGTGAAAGAAGAGAAAAGGAGAAAGCAAATGGAAGCCATTTCTGAAGAGTTATTCAGTAATGAAGTGTATCTCTCTCTCTCTCTCTCTCTCTCCACCCAACAGAAGAGGATATGCCTGAGAACTTACCATCTGTTTCAATGATATAGGGGTCGTCATCGCGGTGTAGCTGGTTCTCTTCGTGGGATTCTTACTCATGGTTAACAATGGTGAACTCCTCGCTCGAAAGAGAGCAGAAAGGTAAAATGTTATCTTGAATTGCTAAATAGGTGTATGTATGCATTGTGTCTATATGCGCACATTTTAGGCAAGATTAATTGATTTTTGGTGAGTTTTACAATTTTAAATAACTTATGGGATTTGTTTTTTGCAATTCAGCCGGTAGATTTAATGCACTAATCAAGCACAAATTTGAAGCCCAACCCATTTGATATTGGCTGCAATTCTATTTAAACTTGTTTAGTTGTTGACTAAAATTGCTATATCTAATATGATGCTGATTATCTTGAATTAATTTATTTATGGTAAAACTCTAAGAGGGCAGTGTGACAACATAGCATGTTATATTATGAAGAGAAAAAATGTTAGTAGATTGGAAGCGATCTTAGAGACTGAACGGTCTACAGTCTACTTAGAAAAAAATTGGAATACTGCAGGAAAAGCTATCACAGCAGCAAACCACACAACTAAATGCATGCTGGAGTCATAGGTAGTTCTCCCAAGCAATGTACAATTATAAATGAGGACCAGCAGGCAAGTTTGATCTGGCCAACGGTCATTGGCGCTTTTATTCACTTTCTGGTATGTACTTTACTGATATCAAAATTGATATCCTGAAATGGATGTGCATGTAGATTATATGACTACACGAGAAAAGAATACTATACCATTGTGCTCTTTTTGTTCCTGCAACGTGATTTGTTTGAACTTTTAAGATATTTGTTTTTGTTGAGGAAATGTGCTTTGATGTGAGAGTATGTTTCAGGTGGATTTATGATTTACAAAATAAAATTTATGGATTTTTACTAGACTGGTAGGTGAAATTGTAACAGCAGTACATAGTGCAATAGGTTGTTGCCCGTTCCCTGCCACTACAACATAAACCATGACACACCAAGGGAATGTACTTTCGAAACAATTTATAAGGTGTACTCATGAATAGCTTATTTATTTGAACTTTAATTAATGAATAAACAGGGAAATAATCAATAAATTATGTACAAATCCGCCCAGCGAGTGTGAAAAAACTCGAAAATTCTTTATTAATGGAAGAAAAGAAATGTGATATTACCAATAATAGAGAGCTTGCGCCTATGGGACAACAGACGACGCGCGCTCTAGCTATGAGCCTATGCCCTATTTATGAAATGTAATGTATTAATTAATTAAAAGAATAATACAATTAAATATTACAGCCTAATCCCCCGGAACTTGCAACTGCTGCTTTGAATTGTAATATCATTATTTTCCGAAAGTCTGTCCACTACCAACCTGCACCTGACCACGAAGAAGATCTTTGGGAGCTTGAAGCTGCCGAGTTTAATCTTTACAGGTTGTCTGACCCTGAGAGTGAGTGGAACATTACCCGTCTGTTGCTGCTGTTGTTGAAGAGCGGTCAGCAGGCCGCTTGCATCTTGGTTTTGTCCCGTCATCTGAACCAGGAGTTGCGTGGTGTTGCGGTGACCCTGGTAGAATTTTGGCAAAGCTCCTTCACAAAGCTTAGTGCGTGTATACCACACGCTTAAGCGGCTGCCACCTTCGTAGTAAATACCGATCTTCTTGTTGGGGTTTCGTGCGGTGATGTTCACGTCGAAAGTAGCATACAAGCTCGTCTGATCAGTGCTAACATTGAACTGGGTTATTTGCAATTGGTCCACCGAATATTTTGGAAGCTTTGGTCGGAACACGAGGTATATAATTCCACCAGCGATCGCAATGACCACCACTTGGAGCACGAGCAGGCATACAGTCCAACAGAGGCACCTGCGGCAACAACTTCTCTTCTTGTGAATGGGTGGTGGGGAGTGCATCACTGGAAAGGTACGTCGTTGTAAGGGAGGATACTTGCCCTGCTGATCGGCAGGATCACTTCTATCCGACTTAGAAGCTCCCCTTGGTACCAAGGGTACCTCAGCTGCTGCATGTGGTGCCTCAACATCTCGATCAAGTACTGGATGAATCTTTTGGTGATCTGCCATTTAGTTCGACCTATGTATGTACGACCCTATGTATTATCTAGCAACAAAGATTTGATCAGCGAGAGCGAAGATTTTTGGGGTCTGATAATTATAGAGAAAGAAGTAGCTCAGCGAGCGAAGATTTCCTTCTTCTGCTTGTATTAATCTGATGTTATATAGGCTGCTTGGACGGACTTTCAAGGCTACAATGGAGAAGAGTCGTATACATTACACGATTGAAATTTGAAGCTTCCTTTTTTGACTTTGTAGGCGCCTTTGTATCTTTATTTATTAGGAAGGTCTTACCTGCGCCCCTATAGTGCTAATATTCAACAAACATACGTCTGTATGCAAAATCGACGACTTTAAGTTCCCCGGAAACTTCTTCTTGCTTTTCTTATTTTTAAAGCAATATGTTCACGCGTCTGATAACTCCAAGCGTTAAATGGACACCTTTCTTTCTAGAAGACCTTAAAAATAAAAACAAAAGGAGAGAAAGACCTTAACATCCAAACCCATTCCCCGGCGTCGGGGGGGGGGGGGGGGGGGGGCAGTTGAGCAAAGTCAGATTTAGCCTCTTTCTTTTTAAAATGAGTAATGGTTTAGGGTGATGGGATCACCAGCGGTAGGGAGGTAACCGGTGTCGGAGTGGGGCGGCTGATGGGGTTAGGGTGGGGGTAGGAATGGCCAACGGTTATGACGGGCAGATAAGAGCATTCCCAATGGGGGTTCTATCCTCCATAGGCTACCATATTTGAAGTCCTAGTGATAAATTTCATCTCTAATAGGCCAGAAAATAGGGCTACATCCACCACAAGAGCTAGCAACTTTCTTTTTCGGATAGCAAAAAGTTAGACTACATCTAGCCTTAAAAATTAATGGGACCCACATCAGAAATGGAGCTGCGACTTATTTTTTTTGTTATTTTTAATTCAAAAATGGAGCCCACCATTTTCTGTTGCCGCTTTGCTATCCCAATTATTTTCCTTCTTGTTTTATAATTCAAATTGGGTGGGTGGCCCTCCATTTTTATTAAGGAAAGCTAACGAAAAGTTTATAAAAACTTTAGGTTTACTGAAAAATAACAAATAAAGGTGTAGTGAATAGTACAAGGAAAAGGTAAAAATGTGGTTTTTCGTTAAAAGTGGACAGTACCATAAGTGTTTCGTTAAAACTCCCTTTTTATTACCCTTTTTTTTATACCGTTGTTTTCAACGACTCTATTTTCATTTTTTTTTGTAATTTTTCTCTTCACATATTTACTATAAAACCCCATAAATTTCTTCAAAAATTCATATTTTTCACAAACTTCTTAATTTTGTTTCATTTCCAAATTGTTAGTTGCAACAATTTTTTTTTTCATTCTATTTGCTCTCATCATTTTTCCTCCAATGGGGGAAAAATCACAAAAGGGCACAAATTACTCAAGATGTCACCGTGTTTTGGTTCATTTTGCACTTGCGCAGCCTTTAAACATCTCTGGAAGTGCTCATACATAGCCCCTACCATTGCAAAAGTAGCATTATCTCATAAGACGAGGAGTTATCATTCCATGGTTGGCCCATTATAGTTTGGTGGTTGGAAGGTTTTTGAGAGTAAAGGGATTCGAAGCTTATATATTATGATATTAGTGTGATATAATTTATAAAAAGTGAATGACATTCGAGATGACGATCCAACGGGTTAGCTTGAGATGCGAAATCTGATCTAACGATTAGTGAAAGATGAAATCTTATCTTGTCTATTTTTGAAGAATGTACCAATCAGATAAATAAACCAACGGATGAGATTGAAATAAGATAAATCCAATCCAATGGTTGTGACGAAATGAAATCTTATCTTGTTTGGTTTCGAAGAATGTGCCAATCAAAGAAATAATACAACGAATGAGATTGAGGTAAGATAATCCAATCCAATAGTTGTAATGAAATAAAATCTTATCTTGTTTGATTTTGGAGAATGTGCCAATTAGAGAATTAAACCAACGGATGAGATTGAGATAAGATAATTCAATCAAATGGTTGTCATGAAGTGAAATCTTATCTTATATGATTTCATAGAACAAGCTAATGGATGAGATTGAGATAAGATAACCTAATCCGACGGTACATAAGTAATGAAATCTAACTTTGTCAGAATTTGAATTGTTTTAGATTCAAAAGTTCATTAAAAAAAATTTAAGATAACACGTCTAAAAATCAATTTAAGAAAAATTAAGACAAAAATAAATTTATATAGCCCCCTATAGAGCCCACAAGGTATATAAGAAGAGATTCTTTTATAAAGCCCAAACGATTCATCGGAACTCTAAAATAGGCTATATCCAGCACTTTTCCAACTCCATACAGAGCTCCTCACTGGGGATGCTTTAACCGCGGTTATTTACCCATAACCATTTACGCATTGGGTAACTGTATAAATGGTTATACACATACCCATAACCGTTTGTAAACGGTTAATCATACCTATAACCGCATACCCGTTTACTTTTTTTTTTTTTTTTTACATGTTTACCCTTTTTTTACACATCTACACATTTTTTTTTTACCCATTTATAGGTACATTTAAAATACATTTTCGTATTTCAATCATTTAAGTCTTCATACAATTCTAATAATTGAAATTATAATGCCAGTAACTAAATTTTCAAACACTCTAATACTTTAGCACATTCAATAAAAAGTCACATTGAATCGTTATCACCAAAAGAGGCCTACAATGTATAACATTAACCATGATTTATTTTCGTAAGTAACGTCAACTATATAAATTCTATAATGCCAGTAAATACATGTATATAAAAAAAGAACAACAACCATACCTTCTGAAAAAAATAAAGAAAAAGAATTTCATAGGTTAGATACAATATATACGTAAAGATTATTAAAAAAGAAACACAATGTATACACATAATAGATACAATTTACAGAACATCCATATATAGCTAATATAAACTACATATTAATGAAATCCTCTTTGTCAACCAAGAAAGGGTGAAAAAAAGTTAAGGACAATAAAGTACTTTCACAAAACAAAATTTTGCTGTTTTTTGTTTAAGTCTCACATACATGTGATTTTATCATCTCTAATTTAAGAAATATAAAAAACAAACATTTCTCCCTCTCTCCCCACTCCCACGTTCTCTCTCATTATATTCCTCTCTTCTTTAATTTAGAAACAAAAGTAGCTCTCTACCACAGTAGTGGAGAGGAGTTTTGCACTAACACCACGGTTGGGTTTGAACTCCTTCAGTTTCTTAATCTAACAAATCTATCGTTTGACAAAGCAAAAAAACCAAAAGTAAAAACTTTCACACTGTGTTGGGCATATACTAGTATTAATTAATACAATAGAATTACTATGTTTATTATGAAATTTGAGTTAATACATACTATGGATAACGCATCCAGGCAGAACATAGGATGATAACTCTAAACAAATGGTTCTAGCACTAGTTATGAAAAGCATTATTACAACGCCAATGGAAACGTAACAAACCAGAGTATCCCCAACGTAACTCGGGAGCAAGTCAATCCAGATTATCTTAAAATGATTAATCCCAAAGGCCTTCAATGCAAACATAATTGTCATTGACCTCTAGAAATGGGCAACAAATCGACTTTTTTGCCAAAGATGAGAGAGAGAGGTGAAGATAAGAGAGAGGGTAACGAGGAGAGAGACGAGCGGCGGGAGTCAGGGAGAGGTCGAACAATTTTAGGATTTTTAGTTATTTATTTATTTTGCATATATTAAAATAAACGGTTAAATAAGTATTCGTTTATAACCATGAATAATACTCGTGACTGCCTATGTCAAATGAATAATACTCGTGACTGACTATTTAAATTTCACAGATAAATAGTTATATCCGTAACTCTAATCGTAAATTTTAAATGAGCGAATAATTTTGCCATCCCCAGGCGAAGAGCTCTAGTGGCTTAGGGTTTCTTTGCTGACGAGTTGGGCTGTGTGGGGACTGGGGAGGAGTGGTTGCTCTAGATTGTTTATTTTCGGTTTAATTGTTAATTTTATTTGTTGGTAATAGTGTTTTAATTATCAAATTAAAGATTAAAAATATATTTAAGTGTACTAAATGACTTAAGCAAGCCACATGATATGTATTATAATACACAAAATATATTTAAGAGTATATGATGATATGTATTCGATATTATAATACGATACGTAGCCGGCCTGACTGGGTCATGCAAGACCAAGCCAATTTTTGTCTGTAATGAGCATTATGTGTATTTGATATTATAATATGATACGTACCCCGCCTGACTGGGTCATGCAGGACCAAGCCAAATTTTTGTCTGCACTGAGAACTATACAAGTTTACTCCAAAAAGCCATGTTAACCCTCGGCCCTAAACCCTATTCAAGGAAATGGTGAATATTAATACCCAAATCCAACGGCTATCATCCTTCATAATATTATTTAAGCTTTATATGAATTAAGGGCTTTGCATACTCGGTCTAAATTTGTAGTTTCAAACCCTATTCTTCACTAATTATATTCTAATATTCAATCTAGTGGTGATCATTCACCTAGATCAACATTACTGAGTCAATAAATAAAATGGTTGCTAAACGCGAAGTGTCATACTCATATGTGACTGGGGTGGTTCGGTTACCATACCGAAATTAGTATCTCGAATCCCAAACCGAAATTTTTCGGGACGGGAATTTGAAGACCAATTCCAAACCAAATTTTCGGGAATCCCAAATTTAGGGAATCCCGAAATATTTTCAGGATTTTGGGACAAATCGGGAATCCCAAATTGAAATATGAAATTATGAATTGTTCTTCAAATATATAATTCAAGAACACATTCTTGAACTAGGAATTTCATTTCATTTACACTACCATTTACTTGAACACTGGCATGCCTGATTGTTTTTATCATAGTCAAAATTCAAATTAATTAAACCCTTTTTGCAATCTGTTGAGAGACAAAAGAGTCAAGCCATCTAAAATCATCAGCCATGGCAGCAGCAATAACAAAATCCACATGAATATCAAACAAAACAGGAAAAATATGCAAGGTGTAGGTCATTCCAGGTTGCAGAGCATGAATTAGAAACTACTAGCATCAATTATAAAAGAATAATATATATATGTATAAATATATTTATATATATATAAAATAATTAATA